GTTGCCAGTCCCCAGACAACCAGGGCTAGCAAGAGGCCAGAGGCGGCCCTGGTGCCGGACCAGGCGCTGCCCTGGAGGGTAGTGCCAGGGAGGATGGGACGGGGTGAAGACCACCACAGCCGTCAACGTACCGGAAACCATTCCCGGCCTACGCGGTGCTGGTCCCCGGACAACCAGGGCCAGCAAGAGGCCAGAGGCGGCCCTGGTGCCGGACCAGCGGTGCCTCCTGAGGGGCGGGCTGTTGTGGGGTGCTCCCTCCTCCGACCATGTTGTTGAAGCATGGGCGCGGGGGCGAGTTACCCGTGGCGGCCTGCCCCTTCTGGGGGCACTGCGGACCGGGCGCTATCCTGGAGGGTGGTACCAGGGAGGATGTGACGGGGTGAAGATCGCCGCCAACGTGCCGGGTGTGACTGTGGGTGCGCGGCGGTGTTGCGGGTTTGCCTACCCAATTCGCCCGTAAGGCGCCATGGCCCCTGCAGCCCTGGCGGGTATGCGGTCCCGCGGCGCTGCTGCGCGTTCGCAGTTCCACCCGGTGCCTTCGAGTGCCATGGAAGCCCGGCTGTACTCCCTTTACCTTCGGCATCGACTCTTTCTTCGAGCCTCCTGCGCACCTCCCCTCTCTCTTCCGGTTCCTCTCCTCTCTGTTCTGTCTGTACCCGTGGCATCTGCCCCTTGTTCCTCTTGCCTCTCTCACCTATCGAGCACCTTTGCCTCCGTGCCGCTTTCGGCCCTTGCCTTAGTGCCCCGCCTCCCTCCTCCCTTTCCTGCTTCCTGTTGCCTCCCTGCCTCCCTTCTCTGCCCGCCTGGCCTCTCAGCCCTCTCTTTACCCTTCTTGCCTAATTTGCTTTGCCTGCTTATTATTAATAATTGCGCATGTTAACTACTTTACTGCACTGCCCTGTACTACGTATCGTCCGACCCTTGACTCTGGCCCTAGGTCCCCGTGCGCAGAGCGCGGGGGCAGCCCCCCTCCCGAAGTGAGTGACTTCCACGACTTCTAAGCTGTAGTCCAGGGCCCGGCGTTGCTGGGCTTGGGGGGGCGGCCGTCCCGCCTTATACCTTTCTCTTATAGGTTTGACCCGGTGGTTGCCGACGCCCACGGCGTACGCTTAATTGCGTAGCTCGAATAATATGGGATTGAGTCGAGGGACTCTGCCACCTTGGCACATTGGCGTGTGTCTGGGTCCTCTATTGATTGATTGATTGATTGATTTTATGTAATATTACTGTCATTAAATAAATTGGTTTTCATTCCATTCTCAGGGTATGGAGTACTTGGGGCAGAAAAATATTGTCCACAGAGATTTAGCTGCTCGCAATATCCTTGTGGTTGATGAATTCAATGTTAAGATATCAGATTTTGGTTTGGCCCAAGTTATGGGCCAAAATGATTACTACATAATTAGGTCCAACCGAGAACTTCCTATTCCATGGTGAGCTGTTTGTAATATGCTTTAGACGGAAAATAGGGAAATAAAAATACTGTATCATGCAGGTTTTTCAAATATTTGTTGCAGGTATGCTCCAGAGAGCTTACGCGATGGAAAATTTTCTCCTCGCTCAGATGTGTGGTCATATGGAGTCACACTTTTTGAAATGTTTTCCCTTGGAGAAGAGCCACGACTTGCTGCATGTACAAACGAACAAGACCATCATGAACTTCTTCGGGTATTAGAAAGAGGGGATCGATTACCTTGTCCTCCAAACTGCCCTCAGCATGTATATGTTGATTTAATGTCTCCTTGTTGGAGTTCAGAATCAAGAGATCGCCCTTCTTTTAGTGATATTTGTGATGTGATAAAATCTATTGCAACTATATTTTAGGCTGCAATTAAAAAAAAAATTAAAACTGTGATTTAGTTTTTTAGACAAATATTATTTGTGTCAGCAGTTATTGAAGGTACACATTTTAGCCATTAAAGGAATTGGTTTTCTTAGTTACCAAATTTGTGCTCTTCAGTACTGTTAATTTCTTAAACAATTTTACGCAGTATTTATGTTATTTTATGCTGTTCAAAGTTAGCAGTACAATTGACGTACTTAAACTTTTTAATTTTCTTTTTGTCTCTACCGTCGGTGCAACTTGTAATTTGTGTTTCTCTATCGCTCGTCGTCTTAAACTTCCGACAACTGTTTGATATTCAGTTCTTCATGAAATTCAATATCAGGACACTCAAATAAAATCAACTAAAATGTA